AATGCACGTCCGTAATCATTGTGGGGAGAAACAACATCACAGAAAAAATCGCCCCTATCGACGATATGGACAAGGAGAACGGCGGTGACTTCCTTGAGTAAGTAATGTGAAATGCAACAAGTATCTGCTGCACCTGAACTGGCAAGCAGTCACCGACGCCTTATGAAACGGTTTAGACCAGTGCCTCACTAGCATCCTCCCCCCCCCCCCCCTTACCACGATGTGACGTTATGTATGTATGTATGTATGTCATACAAATATTACACAGCAATGAATCAAAAACGTCTCATTCCGCTGTAACTCCGAGTTTCGTGTCAGAACACTTCATCAGACAGCATCAGACAGCATATGCTGTCTGATGAAGTGTTCTGACACGAAACTCGGAGTTACAGCGGAATGAGACGTTTTTGATTCATTGCTGTGTAATATTTGTATTACTTGCTCTGTCCAGTGGACATTGAGCACTGTAAGCAGCCTAGGGACCTTAGACAGCTGTCTATGTATGTATGTATGTATGTATGTATGTATGTATGTATGTATGTATGTATGTATGTATGTATGTATGTATGTATGTATGTTTTGATTTGAATTCGCAAGTACACACGGGCTACAAGCCCAATTACATGTAAGCGAATGTGTTAATGAGGTTAATTAAGAAAAAGGGTGGAGGAAGGAGGAGGACGGTAGCAAAGCAAAAGGGAGGACAATTCAGGTGCAAAATTAACATTTGCACAAATATGAGAGTACCTGAGACCGAGGGTACATGTGGAGCGATAAAATGCTAAAGCAAACAGAAGAAAGGAAATCACAAGCCAATACACGCTAAACTGCGCTTGGGTTTTAATAAAGGGGGAAAACTGGAGCTCAAGAAAAATTATAACACACAAAGTCATAATAAGAATTTAACTGGATGAAGAGTAGCATAAGCAAACATTTCCTGACAACGAGAGGGACTGTAACTACAGCAGCAGCAACAACAACAACAACAACAACAACCGCTCTGATTTCCATAGCGAAAACTCTTCAAGACTGCACCCGAAACCTACAACAGAGTGTCACAGCAGCTGGAGACTGGCTTCAAAGATGGCACCTGCTGGTTAACATAAAGAAAACAGTCATCCTCCCGTTCTACCACAATAACCGCCCCCCCCTGAACAGCTACCCCAGATCACCCTCAGGAATAGTCCGCTTACCGTAGAACAAAAACACAAACACCTCGGAATAATCTTTCAGCATGACCTCCGTTGGACGGAGCATGTTGAATACATAGTCAAAAATCACTCAAGTCTTTCAATATTCTTTTTAGACTAAGGTCTATACTCACCAGTGATTCTTTATCTCACATCTATCAGACATACATACTACCTATATTCTCATATGCGAGCAATGCTCTCACACCGTTGTCACACACTTCCCTTGACAGGCTAGAACGACTCCAGCGGAAAGCCGCCAGAATATGTCTCCACCTTCCCCTTTACACACACTTAGAACACTCCCACCTTTTGCATCGCATCAAATGGCCAACATTATTTTCACGCTTTAAAGTTAAACATATACTCTTCGCGCATTCTCTGCGCCACAATTATGCCCCACCACATATACTCTCGCTGCATACTGCTAGCAACGTGCAACCTTCGTATAATTTACGTCGCTCTCGTACTTGGCACTTGCCAACTCCGCGGACTGACCGCTGTCTCCATTCTCCCCTGTACAAGGCCCTTCATTACTTTAATTGCTTGCCCACCCAGCTTCGCGCAATCCCTTCTCGTTCTCTCGCTCGTGTGGCGACTACCCCTGCCCGTACACTTAAGTAGTCATTAACCCCTAGGCCCTGCCCATCCAATTCTTCCTCACTCTTTCTCCTTTCTTACACTATTATCTCTTATTGGCCACTGGCTAGCGTGAGAATAAAGATTTGAAACAAAGAGAATTTCCGCCGATAACCTTTCCCTCGTTGTTGCAAACATTTACCGGCCACCCCGTAGCGATGGCACCCTCTTCTGTGCGGAACTGGAAAGAAGCATTAAAACCGCTAGAGCCGAAGGTGACGACCTCCTACTACTTGGAGACTTCAATGCCAAGAACAGTGCGTGGCTCACCACAGACAGAACAGATCGCCTTGGGGACGACATACAAACTCTTCTACACACATACGGCCTCACACAACATGTCAGATTCCCTACTTACATCCACCGACAAACACCTCCCTCATGTCTAGACCTTGTTATCTCCTCACTCCACAGCAATAATGTTCATATCCAATTACTTCCACCGTTTGGCGCATCCGATCACACTACTATCAGTGGCCACATCAGTAATCAACTGCCCCCCATAATTAACAACTCCCCTCCACGATCCAGAAGCACCACATTCTGGTCATGGACAGACAGCACTATCCACCTTCTTCGAGAAGCCCTTTCACGCACAAATCTCAATCACCATCCAAACGAACACGACCCATGCCCAGTTGACACCTTCTGGCGATCCTGGCGCGACAAAGTCCTGAGCATCGCCCAAGAACACTGCCAAGTTACTCGCACTCACCCCCCTTGGGACAGGAAGAACGTGCCAGCACGACCATGGATATCAAAGGGCCTCTTGAAAGAGATCAAGGATAAGCACAGAAAACACAGAATATACCTTCACTCACGCTCGCCCGACGACTGGAACACGTTCACTGCCCAAAGAAACCGTGTCACCACCCTCCTGCGTCGTGCAAAATCGGATTTCGTAAACAACTCAACAGCCTCCTCTACTTCCCTACACCGCCTCATGAAGTACCTAACTACAACTACAAAACAACGCATGCCCGAACTCGTCAGCCAAGCAACTCCTGCAACGACACCAGCACAAAAAGCCGCTGCCCTCAACGAATTCTTCATTTCACAGAGCAAGCTGTCCGTGGCCAATGCGGATGAGCAAACCCCAGCCATCAACACCACCCCTGACATCCTCAGTCCCCTTCAAGAAATCTCGACTTCCCAAGCTGAGGTCGAAAAACTCCTCCGCGGAGTTGATACCAACAAAAGCCCCGGGTTCGACTCTATTCCAAACCGCCTACTCAAAGAAGCGGCTAAGGAACTTGCACAGTCGTTATCGTCCCTCTTTAATCTATCGTTCCAAGCCGGAGAAATCCCACAGGAGTGGAAAGATGCCACCATTACCCCAGTACCCAAGCCTGGTTACCCAACCCAACCCACAAACTACAGACCCATCTCTCTCTTGAGCACTACATCAAAAATCCAAGAAAAAATTGCACATCAACTCCTCTACAAGCCCATCACACCCCACCTACCCAACCAGCAGTCCGGATTCCGTGAGAAAGACGGCACTGAGCAGCAGCTTTCCCGTCTCGTCCATACCCTCTCCACTGCGAGAGACGACGGGAAACACGTCTATGCCTGCTTTTTTGATCTAAGCAAGGCCTTCGATCGTGTGTGGCATGCAGGCCTTCTAGCAAAACTCTCCCACTATGGTGTCCAGGGCAACGCCCTGGAGTGGTTCCCACGGTACCTGTTGGGGCGTCGGCAGAGGGTCCAGGTGGATGGCGACCTATCGCCTTTCCTCGAGATCCCAGCCGGCGTCCCTCAGGGATCTGTTCTTGGGCCGCTTCTATTCCTCGTCTACACCATAGACCTTCCACACGCATGTGAGAATCCCGGCACCACCTGTAGCCAATTTGCAGATGACACCGCTCTGATTTCCTTAGCGAGAACTCTTCAAGACTGCACCCGAAACCTACAACAGAGTGCCACAGCAGCTGGAGACTGGCTCCAAAGATGGCACCTGCTGGTTAACACAAAGAAAACAGTCATCCTCCCGTTCTACCACAATAACCGCCCCCCTGAACAGCTACCCCAGATCACCCTCAGGAATAGTCCGCTTACCGTAGCACAAAAACACACACACCTCGGAATAATCTTTCAGCATGACCTCCGTTGGACGGAGCATGTTGAATACATAGTTAAAAAATCACTCAAGTCTTTCAATATTCTTTTTAGACTAAGGTCTACACTCACCAGTGATTCTTTATCTCACATCTATCAGACATACATACTACCTATATTCTCATATGCGAGCAATGCTCTCACACCGTTGTCACACACTTCCCTTGACAGGCTAGAACGACTCCAGCTGAAAGCCGCCAGAATATGTCTCCACCTTCCCCTTTACACACACTTAGAACACTCCCACCTTTTGCATCGCATCAAATGGCCAACATTATTTTCACGCTTTAAAGTTAAACATATACTCTTCGCGCATTCTCTGCGCCATCGTCCCTCTTTAATCTATCGTTCCAAGCCGGAGAAATCCCACAGGAGTGGAAAGATGCCACCATTACCCCAGTACCCAAGCCTACAGACTCAGTAACACTGTCATCACACAGGCGTTATACAATCGGCGCTTCACATGGAGTGAAAGATCACGATTAGCAAACACATCCTGGAGCGGTCCAAAGGCACGCGAGGCGAGTGACAAACGCCTCGAAACGTCTCCTGCAGAACGTGCATCCGGAGTGATGACAGAACCCAGATAAACGAAGGAGGAAACATTTTCCACCACCTGTCCATGAAGCGGAATGCCAGCAGTGTCGACTGAAGTAACACCAACACCAGCCACCATAAATTTGGTCTTGGGTATACTCACAGTGAGGCCAAATTCAGCAGAAACATCCTGGAACGCCGTCAAAGCCAACACAGCATGCTCCCGCGAACCAACTACAAAGTTTGCATCGTCCGCATACTCAACATCAACAACAGCGGTCTGCTGATAGGTACGGGTTCGTCGTGCCGGGTTGAATAACTGGCCTCCAAGCGATAGTGAAATTGGATGCCAATGTCCGGGTCACGATCAGCGAGAACAGACCGCCAACGTTCAACCACCAGAGCCAGATAGAGGTTAAACACACACACACACACACACACACACACACACACACACACACACACACACACACACACACACACACACACACACGCACACACAATACCCAGTAGATCTACACCATAAGACTTTCTCCATAAATATAATACCATCCGATTCACATTGACCAAATTTAAAATCCTCAGAAATATTTTTTCAGGGGTAAATAAACTTATCCAACGTTGCAACGTGATCATATCTCGACATAGAGAGGCTCCGTGGAAGCCAAACTTTTAAAAATCATCTCTTTAGCACAGCGTTACCAACACCATCATAACAGTCAGCGAAGGCTGCAATCCCAAAATGATAAAAAATATACATCCAAATATCGCCTTTCGGGCTTTTGATATCAGAGAGTAAATCCCCATAACCGATAATAATTGCAGTCGGCAAAAGGAAAAATAATTTATTGCTAAAAATAAAAAATAGAATGAAAATACTTCCAAGTATTAAAGCCATAGGAAATTGTGTCAAACTCATGAAAATTTACAAAGCACACCATGCACCAGGCCAACGCTCCTACAAAGAGAATCTAGCTATTGCATGGCGAAACAGACAGTACCTTCACCTTCCTCTGAGGGCAAAATTGTGAATTTTTCAATTTGCACGTTCGCTTGATTTGGAATGATCAGAAAACCAATACCAACAAATAGCTAGCAGTGTAAATTACTGATTCGTAAAATGTCAGTCGATAATCAATAGCTGGTAAAAACAGAAAACTAACTGATGGAAAACAAAGAATGCACAAATTGCTAGTATCCTTCGACAAAGAGGGACGTAGGGAGAGAGAGAGAGGGAGAGAGAGAGAGAGAGAGAGAGAGAGAGAGAGAGAGAGAGAGAGAGAGACCCACACACACGCACTGAGTGTGTGAGAGAGAGAGGAATGCTGATGAATATTGCATCTGTTTTCCACGCAGCTATGTATAAATATTCCGCTGACAATCACGGCGGCCAGGCTAGCAGTCTAGATCAGCTCTCTAACGGCGTGCCTGGGCAAACAGCTTGGCGGCGTCGAGTTTGACGAACCTACGGTCATATGCGTTCAGATCTCCGGTCTCCTTGCTGCCCTTTGCATTTGATACGTACATGTTCAAGCCCTGTGAATCAATGTGTGTGTGTGTGTGTGTGTGTGTGTGTGTGTGTGTGTGTGTGTGTGTGCATGTGTGCGTGGATGTGTATGTGTGTGCGTGTGTGTGCGTGTGTGTACGTGTGTGTACGTGTGTGTGTGTGAACGTGTGTGTGTGTACGTGTGTATGTATAGGTGTGAGTATGTGTATGTGTACATGAGCACAACACACAAGGGATTAGTGCTAGAAAAAGAACGTGCATCGCTAGTCAATTCAACACACAGTTTGCAAAGACCTGGCCACATATTCAGTGTTACCAACCGCCCGTATTTGTCCGTATTTTTACGGAAATACAGCCATTTGTCCGCAGCACGGAAATGATCCAGATTCTCCCGGAAAATCCAAAAAATACGGTAGCACCAAGAACGGCAGATTCGGTAGTATACAGAGTAGAAGCTGGTCCCTGGATCTACGTAACTCTCCAGAGTGCGCCGCGACTTTATCAGATCTGGGACGCGTCGATCAACGGCGCAATCCGTGATACACGTTTGACATTTTCATGATTATTTTTTGTTTTGTTTCCTCGTGGTGCGCAGGTCGATTTTCACAAGTTGACTGTTGACATCAGTTGAGCGGTTCACTTCACTTTCAATGTTGGATTTCATTTGACGATTATCATAATTATAGTGACTATGGCGGATTCTGACCCGGATTCTGCTTCTGACCTTCGGCCGCTTGTGGGGGCGAAGAAGAAACCGAAGTCCCTTGCCCAATTCAAGGCGACATGGGTGTTGCCACCTGGAATTGCTGCGAGTAAGAAGAAGGGCATTCACTTTGCTTTCTGTAAATACTGCAACATCGATTTTAGCGTCTCCCATGGTGGATTCAACGATGTCACCAGGCACGTGGATAATCAAACCCACAAAAAGAATGCTCGAGTAGTAGCTGGCAATACCAGTTTGGAATCGTTTGGCCCGGTTGTTCGAGACAGCTTGGCGACGAAAGTAATTACTGATGAGATTGCCGTGTCTCTAGGTGACCTTATAATAAGTATTACGAATATGTTTATGCTGGAAATCATTCCGCCCTTGCGGCAATTCATCAAAAACTCGAACGAAAATGACCGAAAAAATGTGGAACATTTGGATGAGGGGATACCAAAAAAAATGGTTGGAGTACGCAACAGAGCAAAATATTCCGCAAAATGAGATCTGGTTGCACGCTTTCCAGGTAGAAGCAGTTGGTAACACTGCATATTTATGTATTTTCCAGGTTCCTTCAGTACTCCTTTTGTTTTCTTTTGTTTTCTCCTTCTTTTTCTCAGTTTTCCCCACCATGGCTGGTTAAAATCGCCCGCATCACATGCGTATTGGCTCTATGTAATCGTGATTGTGGAATAATAATAATAATAATATACTATTTACAGAAAAGGCCGACATGTATTAGAAGGAAACATTGCCACAAACATGACGTGCCACAAAGATTGAACAAGGAGAGCAACGGCTATCGATGTAGCAGGAAACCTACGTGTAAATCATAGACGACGCTAAGGAGATCTCCTGTCTTCACACGACCACCCATGTTGATGATGAGCTCCGGTGTGATCCGACCGTGGTTCTCCCGCAGCACCTGTAAGCAGAGGAACGACGGCAACCGTGACGCAATCTCCCTTGGCGGCATGTCATGTGACCGTAGCTATGCCAATAGCCAATCAGCGGCCTTGAAGACACAGTAGTGTATCTGGTGAAGGTGACCAGTGCCTATGTCTACGGTGCCAGAAGGTTCGGTATCACATTGCTTCCAAATACATGTTACATGTACTGTAAGACCAGATATTTTAACGGCAACGAGAGAGCTTGGAAGCTCAGGCCCTACGCTATGCTTTTTTGCCTTGATGACCTAGACAAAAAAAAGCATAGGGATGTTATAAATAGTGGTGGCCTGCGGAAGCGAAGGCTATAGCTTGTGTGTTTCTGAACATTTAAGTGATGCTAACGCGGATCCGCGAATATTATTATTATTATTTTATGTTATAAATTCTTTTTGCCGTCAGATACGGATAGCGCCAGGCGTGACACAAACAAACAAACACACAAACAAACACCAAATTAAAGCTGTGTGGACCCTGGCTAGCGCCAGACGTTACTTCACTCTAGTCTTCTGCATAGCTACGGGAATTAAAGTGTTTTAAACGATCTCCGGATTTTTGTGGGTTAGCAAGGTGAAATTCTAACGAATTCCGTCTCAAAACCGGCAAATGACTGTACATGTACATATCGTTTTCTACATAACGACTTCAAATGTTAACAAATTTTATTGAAACTCGGATGTTGAGCCATAAATAAATATAGAAAGGAAAAGGACATATGGATACGAGTTAAGTATATAGTATCCAGTTACAGTGATGGACAGTTACTCTTAAACTCGTAACCATATGTCCTTTTCCTTTCTAAATTTTATTGAATTCGTAAAATCGTTAGAATTGAATGTTCGTTAACATTACTGGTCTTGCAGTACACCCATACCTCAGTTATCCTAGTGTCTACCGGACCTCCTTTCAGCGAGCATCCTGAGTAGATATGTTACTACTCTATTGTCACTTTTTGTTGAAATGGTGACGTCGTCGTATGCCATATCTATGGCCTTCCCCATCAAAATGTTTGTGATTTGGAGTTACGGACGTTTCAAAGTTACGGGCAGTACCCGGTCCTGGACCGCTTGGATAAACGAGGTGCGAGTGTACAGTAAGATCGGGCGCCGAAGAACGCAGGGGCTCGAGCGCAGCCTAGGAAAGTTCTTAAAATTTTGATTCTAGCCAGACCGTTCTTATTCACACGCGTACGCGCGCGGCGAGTCGAGTGACGTCATGACGTTTGTCATGTACATGTACATGTACATGTAGTGCAATGACTATGTAGTACTTCTAAACTAGTGGGTGTCGTAAATGGGAATGACTGTACATGTAGCAGTTACTGTTTACACGTGTACATGACATGTACTCACCTCCCATACATGTACAATGTAGATCTACGTGTAAATTCGCAACTTCGTGTAAGTACATGTATGAAAATTTTAAAAGTGTTCTTAAATCTGATAATTCTAGCCTGGACTGTTCTTAAATTTTGCCGGTTTTCCAGCCTGGGTGTTCTTCGGCAAGGTGTTCTTCGGCGCCCGATCTTACTGTAATTGTATAAGTCACACCTTTCTTTCCACAATAATCCCCGAGGAAGGAAGGGGGGGGGGGGGTTATAGGTTCCAATCCAGCATATGATCTATAACCTTTGTTAAAGTGAGTACGGTATTCTTCCATACCGGTATGGAAGAATACCGTACTCACTTTAACAAAGGTTATAGATCATATGCTGGATTGGACTGGAGTATGAGCCGCACTGGAGTATGAGTCGCACTGGAGTATGTGAGCCTAAGCCAGACTTGCTGTCAAGAAATACACACGGTTACCCTACATGCATGCCATGTTTAGGCTGCATCCCTCGTTTGGTTCATCGCTGACAGCTTTGGCTATTCTTTTCGCCAATAGTGAACCATGGACACATCAATCACAGCCCAGCAGTATCTCGATTGCCTACTTCCTTGGCAGCGTCAATGAATCCCTGCTTGAAATGAGTTCCAAAGGTGCTACATTTCGACGGTTACCTCTATTCAGAACGACAGATGAAAAATGAAAAGACTTGAGCAAGAGAGGAATTGCTTGAATTTTTGTCTTCCGCTGGTTCAATATGCGTTGTCCATGCATATGTGCACTGTTGCGGTGTCATGGCCATCGTGGATCATGAGAATAGCCACCATGAACAAAAAAGTACTCCTGACAGAAATTCTACTTTGTATGCATAAACCAGCACCAATACACCATCCTTACCTCATTCCAACATCCGAGGTGCACGCCCCAATACAGAACATCTGTCAGAAGGACAGCGACAGAAAGAGAAAGACAGAAAGGGAGAGAGAGAGAGAAAGATGGAGGGGAGGGGGGGGTAAAGTATACAGAGCAGACAGAATGCATATTATACGCCTGAGTGTTTTTAAAGGAAATGGGAAACTAGCAGCAGAACAGTGGACCAGCAGTGACCGTAACTCCAAGATGTCCGTGTCTGATAGTTATTATAAACTCAACATCTGGTTTAGAGCAGGAGTGTTTGGAGATGGGTTACACTGTTTCTGCCGTGAGTACGCTGAACATGCAGGGCCGTCGGAACCGATGTAGATGGAGAAATGCGCTATCCAATCAACCCGTGATATGTCCAGGACAGGAATGCCCACCGGCGATCTACATGTGCATGGTCCCACCTCTCACACACAGCACTACAGTGGAGACAGGCTAGTTCATGGCAAATCTGAGTTTCATGATCATACTCAGTGCAATTATCAGTCAACAGTCGCGTGATAACTACACTGAGTCTGAACATGAAACTCAGACTTGCTATAAACTAGATTCGTTCCACTGTTGTTGTGTACAATACACGACTTGAGCACTCAAAGCACACTGGGTGATGATAAGAGTACATGAGCCAGCGCACGCGAAAATCGACCTTAGTGACACGCACTTCAAACTGAGAAAACGCACTTCAAACATTCTCTGTTTTCGTGTGATGTGCAATATATCAGGTAAAATGCTCTATCTTCTAAGACCCGTAACTCAAGTTTTACTCAAGATTTTTTCAAACATTTTTTGCATTGAATTCTGCATAAATCCATCTGCCTTTATCCACTGTCATCTCTGTAGTACGATAGGATCTCATTGCTGGATTCTTATCTATCCTTCTTTCTTCTCTTTTTCTATATTCCTTTCTTTTCTTTTCTTGCCGTGGTTGGCTATCACCCCTCTCTCGCACTTTACGTGCCAATTGGTCATGAACCACGAGTTGAGTGAAATAAATAAAATAAATCTCAGTTTCTGAAAATATGTCACTAAGGGTGATTTTCGCATGTGCTGGCTCACATAACCCCTCAAGAGTGTGCAACTCGACTATGGGTGCTGTCCCGACAGAATTTCAAGTTGACGTCATTTTTATGATGCAATGCACTGTACACGGATTATCAGACGAATCCGGATCCGGCGGTGGACCAAAGCCTATCTGATCCTGTGCAAATTAATTATTGCAAAGAAAGACGTGTGCTGCGTTGACACCCATACACATGTTGTGAATCACTGGTCACGGCAAGGAGCCTTGCATCATGAATGATGACGTGAACTTGAAATTCTGTCGGGACACAGGGTATGTGAGAGTTGCACACTCTTGGGGGTTATGTACTTTTGGTGATGATATTCTCTTTCTTCTGTGTTCTCACCTGTCATGGTGTACTGGTTGTAGCAGACGTCGTCGCAGTGCTCCCGGTTAAAACGCGTCTCGTTCACCAGCGTGATGTTCTTGTCTGTGTACACCTGGGTAGAGGGGCACGTGAACACACGTACACATGTACAATGCGGGATAACAGACGTGTGTATACTAGAATAATACATTTACGTACGCGCACCCACAAAAATCAAATTTAATATGGTTGTCTTGACTTCAAACCAACGTGGAAACTGTACCACGGAAGCCCGACAAAGCGAGTGGTCCAAGGTCTCATCTTCCGTTCCCGTCACGTAGCGCAGAACATGGCCGATGTAATGCTCACTGCTAGTTGTCCTCCTCCTTCTCCTCCTGCTGTTCTCCATTTGAATGACCAACTTACATCCCCAGGGGCAGATCCAGAGACCTCTACAGTGGGGAGGGGGGAGGCAGAGAACTCCAAAGGGGGGAGGGCAGAGAACTCTACAGGGGGGGGAGTCCAGAGAACTGTACAGGGGAGTGGGGGGGGGGGGGGGGGTCCAGTTTAGCCAAAACTGAATAGCTGATAAATGTACATGCACTATACCGATTATAGTTTGCAGTTTGCAGTGGTATATTTGCTAAATTTAGGGGGTTCTGCCTAACCCACGGAACCCCTTGGATCCGCCCCTGCCCCTCCCCTCCCTGCCTCCTGGTAATAGCAGACCTTAATAAAACTGGCTAGCATACCTTTGCAGTTGAGGCAGAGTACTGGAAAATTCGGAAGTCTCTCTCCGCTCCGGCCCCGGCACCGACGCCCAGCCAAATAGAGCAGGTGCGGTGGGCAGTCATTATTCGCCTGGCGGAACAGGACATTGAGAAACAGCCACATGCACACAGACAAATTCTCAAACGTAGTGAGAGCGGAGACGGCTAAAATATCACCACTGCCCAGGGGTTGTGCCAGTGATATCATTGTTCGCTCTTTGTATGGAGTGGCAAACCAGCAAATGACATCATCAATTCATCACACATTCTTTGTAAGGATGTATGGAGTGGCAAGCTAGCACATTACATCATCCCTCTGCTTTGTATGGAGTGGCAATCTAGAAAATGACATCATCAATACGCTTTGCATGGAGCAGTATACATATACAGCTGTTGTCACGACGCTACTTCGCACAGTACTAGTGCAAATAAGTATTTATTGAAAATTTAATAAATAATAAGTGAGAATGATGTCATAACGTGATTTCAACCGTAAGAATTCTCAATCAGGTCAGTGTGCTAGACGCTGGATTCCATATTCAACGAATCAATTTGAAGACCCAAAGACGCACACGCACGCACGCATACCCCCCCCCCCCCCCCAAACACACACATAAAGTAAGATACACACACACACACACACACACACACACACACACACACACACACACACACACACACACAGGCAGAATAGACAACACCGTACTTAGTAGCTTGGTCGATATTGGTGTCAAATTGCAGCACGTCACGCATCAGAAGGTTGAAGGGGATGCCCGAGCGGGACTCAGTGCCAAACGGAATGTCGGAAACCTTCTCAGAGATTCCCATTCCTGCCGACGACATACCTGGTAAACACAGGGGCACGACAAGCAGGGGACAGAACACGGGATTACATGTAACATAGTTAGTGACACCTGCACTCCTGCATTGAGCAAGAATGAACTGGAGAGAAAGTCTGTCTTTAGAGGACAATTGTCTCCAGAGGTCATCTGTCTTGAGAGAGCACCTGCCTTGTTGACTGCCAGTACCTGTCTTGACAGAACACCTGTCTTGATACATTACCTGTCTTAAAACACCACCTATTTTGAGAAGCCATCTGTCTTTAGAGACTGGTGATCAGCTGACTACCTGTCTAGCAGAGACCACCTGTCTAGCAGAGACCACTTGTCTAGCAGAGACCACTTGTCTAGCAGAGACCACCTGTGGTGAGGGTGGAAGGGTTGTAGCCAAACTTTCTCTTTCTGTGAAATTATCAACAATGCCGAATGGCCCCGTAGAAGATAACAATAATGCTGTCTAACATACCCGCAATGCCTGTGAGAAAGCCTGCCCAGCCTACACTGGCAAACGCATGGCCGTTGACTGACGGATGGTAGACCGTCACGACCGGGTAGTCTTGCAGGATAGAGTCCGTGCCAAAGTCAAGAGCTCTGAGCTGCACACGATCATGCACATAATTATACAGGCATGCATGCATACGCGCAAGCAAACATGTCCACACACATACACACACACACACACACACACACATACACACACACACACACACACACACACATAAACACACACACACACACACAAACACACAGCCATGTGCAAAGAGTGCTCAGCACGGCGACACGGAGCTTTCTGCTCGTCTGTTGATTGACAACACATTACTGTGAAGATGGAGTTGAAAAACATTTGCCTGGTGCCTAGTGCCTAGTGGCTAGTGGCTAGTGCCTAGTGGCTAGTGGCTAGTGCCTAGTGGCTAGTGCCTAGTGCCTAGTGGCTAGTGCCTAGTGACTAGTGGCGGCGGACACGTTGCGGTCACCACGGTTTAGACTGCACCACTCTTTGCCCTGGGTACCCTGTGAATTTATAAAAGGCACTGATTTGGGCTCTAAATTTCGAAATTTGTCAGAGAACACCCACCAACCCCACATGTATATTGTAACTGTACTTCACGTGGTAGACTGTAACACCCTAAAACACCCTCCGACGCCCCTGCCCCCTGCCCCCTGCCCCCTGCCCCCTTTCCTGTAATGTGCAGGCACTGCAGGGTGCAACGGGAGAACGTCACATCCTGTGTCGAACCCGTTGAAATCACAATCTCCAACATATGCATGATGGCTACGTTGTTGTACGCAACCCTGCTTTGGGTTCAACTGTCTACTAGTCACTGTGCACTGTATGCCAGTGTAACCCATTAAAGTATACCCTGCGATGCTAACAGAAATCCCATCCGAAGTGCAAAACTGTGGCCCAGGACCGGTTCTGACTACATATCTGTACTTGAACATGTGCTCGTCCAGCTGCATACGTACCACTTCCAGGACGTCGAGGGCCGTGCGAGTTGAGGGCGCTAACTATGCGCTTTGGGTCGAATTTCACCAAGCACAACCGTACTCTCCCTAACATGACACATATTGGCTGGGTCCACTTCAGCGCACATGCCCATACAGAATCGGTATGTGACCCTGACATCATCAATGCCTACCTCATCACCATAGTTACTAACCTGTAACAGACCCGTGGCATCCGTGAGGGCACCTCCCCAAGCACCCATCATGGAACAAGATGCTTTGATCAGCTCGGGTAACATGTGCATCTGCAGTACAGTCTTGTATTCGATGCCTGTAGCATCCGCCAGGCCGTGCATCTCTTCGAAGAAATATTCTGGAGTGTACGGTCTGGTGTGGTAAAGATGGCAACACACACACAAGTCAAACCGTGATTAGCTAAATGAGTGTGTATGTGTACGTGTGTGTGTGGGGAAGGGAGGGGGGGGGGGGGGGGGGGGAGTACATGATGATGATGATGATGTGTGTGTGTGTGTGTGTGTGTGTGTGTGTGTGTGTGTGTGTGTGTGTGTGTGTGTGTGTGTGTGTGTGTGTGTGTGTGTGTGTGTGTGTGCGAGCAGGCGTGCATGTACGTGTGTGTGTGTGTGTGTGTGTGTGTGTGTGTGTGTGTGCGAGCAGGCGTGCATGTACGTGTGTGTGTGTGTGTGTGTGTGTGTGTGTGTGTGCGAGCAGGCGTGCATGTACGTGTGTGTGTGCGTGCGTGTGTGTGTGTGTGCGAGCAGGCGTGCATGTACGTGTGCGTGTGTGTGTGTGTGTGTGTGTGTGTGTGTGTGTGTGTGTGTGTGTGTGTGTGTGTGTGTGTGTGTGTGTGTGTGTGTGTGTGTGTGTGTGTGTGTGTGTGTGTGCATATGTCCGTCTTCTTGCATATCTACATGTGGCTGTGCAGAAATCTCTGAATTTTCCCGCTAAACATGCGCTGGTAGATGTGTTAAACAACTGCAAATCAAAATGTTCAATAAAAATATAATTATGCCTGTTGTGTCTACCTCCAACCCGGCCCTATCTACGTTTCTTCCCAGGCACATAGCTCTTGTATGGTCAATGTGCTCTAGTCACCTCACCAGCAAACGGTCGTCATAGGTACGAAACAAAAAGTTTAAAAAAACATGGCGACTATGAGTGTACGATGCTACCGTGGCTACAAAGGTGCGTTCTACACCCCTGCTTGCCGCACGCGTATCAGCCAGTCCATGTCCCAGTGGCTGCATGCATACAGTATTGTCGGGCGCCGAAGAACGTGGGGGTCAGGGTTCTAGCCTGGCCCGTTCTTATTTTAGTGAACGCAGCAGTTTCGTTCTTATTCGATGATACAGTCATGCATGTACATACTCGGACATTTATACTTTTGAGCGTACATTATAGTGTACATTACGGCTTCCGTTCTTATCTGCAAAAATCCAGCCTGAACCGTTCTTAAATATTGTTGAAATTCTAGCCTGGCCGTGCTTCGGCGCTTCGCTCTTTGGCGCCCATGCTGTAGGTACACATGATGCAGCCACACGTACCTACAACTTCTTCCCGTGATCGCTCACCTTGTCATGACGGCAGTAGCATCCAGCGCTGCCTCCAGACCGACTCTCTCGATCCACTCCGCCATCTTCTTGGGCAAGAACTTGATGTACTCTCCGATCTGTGCCTCGGCGTACGCCAAGTAGCCCGTCACCACGGCATTGGCCTGTGGACCCAGAAGCTGTCCATGGGCATAACCCATCTGGTACGCTGTGCCGTATACGTGCAGGACTGAAGGTGGCGGGGCACACAGTCATTGACACAAGTGCACAATTGAATTATTTGGTTAGAGAGGGGGGGGGGGGGGTGAAAATGAGAAATGTCTGAGGAATTTCACTCGGATACTGAGCCAATAAATATAATCAAAAATAGAAGAACTGACATGGAAACGAGTGGTGAAGCAACTATCCACGACTGTAACAAGATAATAAGCAGCTAGAAAGTGCCTCAGGTTGTTGAATGTCTCAGTAACATTTCAGTTTTATGCCCTGTTATCGCACTTTCTGATTGCTTACTATCTTGTTAGTCGTGGATAGTTGCTTCAAAACTCATTTCCGTCTGTTTCCCATGCCCCCCCCCCCCCCCAGACGCAGATGTGACACTGTTCTGTTCAGTGCCCCCAGTCACCCAGGGCCTCTCCGTTTTGCTCTCACACTGCACTGAGCAGCTGCTGCAGTCTGTTGGCCAACGTCAGTGGCCAAACACAGACCACAATAACAGACATATATGTACCAAAGGAGTGCATGTGCCTTAGGCTTAGTAGCTACTACTGTTAATCGCTTCGGGGACTTTATTTGTTTTGTTTCTGTATTTGTATCTATGGATTCTCCACAGGCCTTAGCCTAAACCGAGCGAGTCTCCGTAATGCCTAATGGAGTGCCAGTGACGGAGTTTTCACCGTCGTGCAGCTTTTTCCTTACCATGGAACTGATCCTCGCCGTCTCCGACCACGTACAGCGATCCATTGGTGGTCTTGTTGATCAGGCGTGGCTCTCCAGTCCACACAGGCAGTGTATTAGCCTTGCCGGAGCACTGTTCGGGGCGAGGTGTTTGCGCCACAATCACTACTCCCTGCACGCACAGTGCGAGCAACGCTAGCTGACAAACTCCGAGGAATGACATTTTTTCTTCACCGAGTCTCGGACTCACATAGAGAGACAGAGACAGAGATGGAGACGGCCGACAAGCTTGTTGCAGTCTGTGGCTCGGAACTAGTGCTCGGCCTGTAGAAGAGCGTAGTCTAGTCTCCGACCGTCGACCCTAGACTAGTTTGGTGCAGAAGGAGAAAAAAAGGTGCCATCAGTTTTTGAATAATGATGAAAGCTCCGTGACATCATGTATCAACGTGATCATTGTCACCTGATCACCATGATCACTGCAAAGAAAGAGATGGCAGCTGCGAAGCAGGGAGTAGGTCAATGATTTTGTACTACAGTACTCCCTCCTTCGAACTGCCATTCGTCTTCCATACATGCATACTCGTAGTTGTACAATGTCATGTACATGTGATTAGGTTTGAGGTTACCATGGTTACTGTTTGACAGACCTATAATTATAGGCGACTCTGTAGTCGTAGTCAAAACAGGTTATTCAAACAATACGACATGGAAAGAAGGAAGGAAACCAAAGATACAACTATTACTTACAAGGATGACGATGAAATAAAAAGAAAAAAATTGAAAACAGTCTAATCCAAAGAAGTAAAAAGACAGTAAAAAAGTAACACAGTACTTACGGTAGTAGTACGTATTTCACTTTTACAGAACTAAACCTGAAAATGAAGTTAAAAAAAGGTTTGTGCATGAGGAACGGTTAGTTTCTTGGTTGGATGAAAGCAAATCAGCACGCGAAGCACAGAAGCCATAATGGTTTCCATTGTTACACACTCTAGTTCTACATTCATGCTACATGTACAAGTATGTTGAAAGCCAATTGCACTATACATGTACATGTACATGTAACTTAACTGTGAATGAGAGAGAGGGGTGGGGGGGGGCATATTCAGTAATGATACACACAAATAATCATCAGCACACGAGGCACAGAAGCCATATCATTTTTCGACTAGGCCTTTCACTCCATTACTCTTCAGGTCGAATACAATGGTGATTAACAAGGTAGTAAGCAAGGATTTGCTTACTACATTGTATTCGACCTGAAGAGTAATGAAATCAAAGGCCAAGTCGAAAAATTATGGCTTCTGTGCTTCGTGTGCTGATTTGCTTTCCTCCAACCAAAAATCTATTTAAAACTAATCAAAAAACTAAAGGGCTTGAAAGCCCAGGACTCCAGGAGCAATCGCTATGCTTTGGTTTTACCTACATGTAAGTCGTCATGATTGTGTGTTGTTCGAACTGATAGGAATGTTTATACAAAAGAGAAAGACACTGACCGACGGTACTGACGTTCTACAACTAACTGGCTAACAGCTCTAGCACATCTTGGATGCACACTCCAGCAGCCTTCCAACTCGGAAAGTTCTAAGTTATAGAAATAACATAATTATTATTAAAGGAGTGGAAGGTGAGCGCAACCAAGATGAGCACGAGCTGAAAGTCTCAGCTGTGAAGGACGTTGGCGGATGTTCAAGCATGTCGATGACGATACTGGCAAGACCATTGGACAATACGGTCAAACCACGACCACTCCTTATGTTATTTCTATAACTAAGAACCTTCCAAGTTGGAAGGTTGCTGGTGTGCGCATCCAAGTTGTGCTAGAGCCGTTAGCCAGTTAGTTGCAGAACGTCAGTACCGTCGGTCAGTGTCGTGTAATGTTATCGCATGAGCTGATTGTTTAGTAACTAGTGGTGTTAGTGGACAGTATAGCGTAACTAACTTGTTGTTCCTTGGTTTTTCTCTTTTGTATAAATTAAACCTTGGCTCTCCATCTGAGTCCATTGATAGAAATGTCTTTGCAATACGATTTTGACGTGAGCATAATTTATTATGTTTTTGTATAGCAAAAACATTTCATTTTTCTATCCTTTGTAACCTTGGTTTGAACCGGCACTATCGCCCTGCATGCATTCCTTTGATACACTTCGCATACATACACATTCTACCAAGCTGCTTCACGTTGTGATCCTGCAGTTGAAAGCTATATCAACATGTAGCCAGCAGTTGCAACTTGATGCCTCTGCACATCAGATCACACCCATCCACATTCCTCCAGCCAATGTCCGTTTTCAACTAGCAGCGCTGAATCCGCCCAAGGCCATTGGCCCCGACGGCATATCAGCTACAGTCCTCAAGGAATACCACAGGGAGCTGGCAGAGCCTGCTGCTCGCTTGTTCTCTTGCTGCTTCAGAGCAGGGGTCCAGCCAGCTTCCTGGCAACTAGTCCACGCGTCCCCCATCAACAAGAAGTTCTCCGAGTCAATTGTTTCGAATTATCGACCTGTGTCTCTCCTCAGCATCCTGTCAAAAGTAATGGAGAATAGTCCCCTCTCAACCTACCCCACCCCCCCCCCCCCCCAGGCATATGCGGATAATGCTGGCAGAAAAATTGGCAGAATTCGGTACTTTTTCTGGTAAGTAAGTTAACTGTTTCATGCATGTTTGGTATGTGGAAAAAGAAATGGAGCAGAATTCGAGGAATTGCCCGCCATAAGGTTTGTATGGTTCTGCCATTTTCACTGCTTTTCGACCAGAATCTGCCACCTTTTCGAGCAATATCCGCACACCCCTATCCCTCCCCCCATCCCCGATAGGTGTTTGTATTTGTATTTTATTGCCTTTCAAGGATTACCCAAAGGCTCTAGGCTTTGCCTTTGGGTAATCCTGAAATAAAGATTATTATGAATTTATCATTATGAGGAGAGGCAACGAAAGGTACGTATGATTGTGTTCATAACAGCTCCATTCTGCAATTTTCCTTGTGTCTTCCTGATTGTTGGCGTGTCACATGTGACAATCACATCCTGTTGCGGGATCATGTTGGCGTGTCACATGTGACAATCACATCCTGTTGTTGTTGTTGTTGTTGTTGTTGTTGTTGTTGTTGTTGTTGTTGTTGTTGTTGTTGTTGTTGTTGTTGTTGTTGTTGTTGTTGTTGTTGTTGTTGTTGTTGTTGTTGTTGTTGTTGTTGTTGTTGTTGTTGTATATTTTAATTCGCAAACCAAACGGGCAGATCTGCCCAATGAAAAGGTGGCGAACGCAGATAGAAAGCAGGAATTAATGAAATTGGGGAGGGATGTAATAAGGATAGAGGTGGAGAAAACTAAGCCAGCTGATCATCAAACAGGACGTTTGGTACTCTAAGTACTAAGGGTGTGCGGGATCATGCTGGCGCGGAACTGGCGGAGCGTGGATATGGCACGTATATCGCTGGGTAAGGTGTTCCACAGCTGGGCGCCCCGGAACGCGAGGCAACCCTTGCCGAACCTGGTACATGGTGCAAACTGGCGGTTGGCGCAGACCCATGGTGGAGTGCAACCTAGTTGGGCCAGCTGACGAAGGAACTAGGAGGGCTTGCAGATCAGAACTTGCGTGCCCATTCCGAGCCCTCCAGACCAGAACGATGAACTTCTGCTTGAATATCTCGGATTCTCTGTTGGTGTCCAATTTCAGCAGGGGGGTGCGCGCGGAGGTGTGATGCGAGAGTCCGAAAACCGCCCTTGCCGCCCGATTCTGCATGACTTGTAGCCGATCCGGTTGGCAGTAAGAAGTGGGGAAAACGCATTGGATCCGTACATCAGGTCAGACATGATGATCGCTTTAAAGTAGAGAACTCGGCTCTGATGAGTCAAGCAGCGACGCAACCTCCATAGTGCTCCGATCCTCTGCCTCTGGGCCAGTCGAGCGGTGCAGCGATCAACATGGGGCGTCCACGACAGATCCGAGTCGAGGAGCACTCCAAGATACCTGGCCGCAGTAACGACAGGAATCGGCGTTTCATGAAAGTTTACATTGATCGTGTGCTGGGGCTGCTGAGGCTGCCTGTTGGGGTATACAGGGATCACTTGGCTCTTGGCTGCATTCAAAATGAGACCACGGGGTCTGCAACCAGTCAGCAAGTGCAGAAACAGAGGCCCGGGCCGATAGCGTAGCAGATACCGTGTCGAGGGATGTGCTGCTGCTGATCAGCGCGATGTCATCGGCAAATTGAACCGATGAAGACTGGTTAGCTGTGGTTGGAACTTCGCGGGTGTAGATACTGAAAAGGATCGGTCCCAGAACAGAACCTTGTGGCACGCCACAGGATGGTTCAGAAATGGTACTCTGATCCCGTCCAATACAGATACGCTGAGTACGGTCCGACAGATAGGAAAAAACCACTTTAGGGCTGTCCCTGTTATGCCGATATCAAATAGGTCCTGGAGTAGCCGTTCATGACGAACCTTGTCGAATGCCTTTGACATAATGAAGGCATATGCCAGTACACAAACGCTTGTCCCGTGCAATAAGAATACGATTTAGCATAAGTACCAGGGCATCCTCCGTTGAGTGGCCTGCGCGGAAGGCAAACTGAGTTGTGGGAAGGGTACCAGATATGTCCAGAAACTGGGCTAGCTTCTTTTGTACGACTTTCTCCAAGAGTTCCTCTTTTTTTTGATTGATTTTTATTTCACGGATCCTCCAGAGGCAAATAGATGCCTATCGAAGGGAGTCTCCTAATGTATAATGTAAGTATGGAAATTGAGAAAGTATGTTCGTAAGGGAGAAGAGGTAGAAGATACATTAGAATATACATGTACATGTACATGTAGAGTACAAAAGAAGTAAATTCAGTACTTTGCACCAGTTATCGCCTTCTCACTCACCCTAATATTTAATACCTCTTTGTGCACTGCTGTGTTCCCGACACAATTCAAGTTGGCTAATGTCACGCCGATATTGAAATCCCGTAAGGGCGATCCTACTTCTCCTTCGAACTATCGTCCTGTGTCACTCACGTCGATTCTGGCTAAGACTCTGGAACGCCTAGTTCTAAATCAGGTATGTGACAGTTTGACCATCGAAAATCACCTCCACGATCACCAATTTGGGTTCCGACCAGCTCGTTCCACGACACAACTGCTCACACTTGCTGTAAATGATTGGAAACTGGCCCAGGACCGCGGAGAGACTACCAGTGTAGCCTTTGTCGACCTCAGCAAGGCGTTTGATCGCGTCCAGCATCAACAGTTACTCGTTGCGCTCCATGGCATGGGTGTTCATGCAAGCGCCCTGCGTTGGTTTGCGTCGTACCTCGCCGGGAGATCTCAGCGTGTCGTCACGCAAGCCAGCCAGTCTTCAAGTCTTGCAGTGTCTCGAGGAGTTCCTCAGGGAAGTATTTTAGGCCCTACCCTCTTTAATGTCTACCTGAGGGACCTTCCCCGGCTTGCGGAGACAGCGGGTTCAAAACTACTGATGTTCGCAGATGACAAGACAGTCTACTCTAGTGATCCGTCGAAGGCGCGTTCCGAAGCCAAGTTGTCATCGGCACTGGAGATACTAAACCACCACCTTGGCTCCATTGGTATGCAGATAAATACCGACAAAACCGTTGTCATGCAAATCCATCCCAAACGTGCCACAGGGAGTCAGCAACAACAACAAAGGCAACAACTGCAAATCACCTTGTCAAATGTTACGCTAGGGGAAGTGGAAAGCACCAGATGCTTAGGAGTCGTTGTTGACAATAAGCTGTCCTTTGACCAACACATTAACAATGTCGTCCGGAAAGCCTCACGGAAGATCGGTGTACTGCGTCGATCTTTCCGCCAGATGAACCTGTTTGCCCGCCGTACTTTCGTTGTCGGTGTTATTCAGCCTGATCTAGAATATGCTCTCCCTGTATACCTTTCGTTTATATCCGCTAAAAATAGAAACAAGCTAGCCTCACTCCACCGGCGCGCTGTACGAGTTGCTTGTGGCGCATCACCCCAAGCTAATATCACGCCACTTCTTCACCACCTCAATGTTTCCTCTTTCCAATATCGATCAGTATTTTTGTTCCTTGTATTCATTTTCCACTGTTACTGTATTAAGCCGGCTGTTTGCTTGCAGTCCCTCTTTCCCATCTGTACGTCTACCCGAACTACTCGCGGCTCTACAACTCATAACATGAGTATCAATCGCTATAGATCTACATGTATGTCTGGCTTTCTGTCCTTTTCAAGTAAATCGGCTCTTGTTTGGAATTATTTACCAGACGACCTGAAGTCCTGCACTACTATCGCAGATTTCCGCGTCAAATTGGCTATTTGGCTAAAAGACAGCTTAACTCTTAATCATTGTTGTGATTTGCTTTCAAGCAATGTGCATAATCAGTAACTTGGTGTTGCTGTTTTTGTTTTTTTTGTTTTTTTTTTGGGGCCTTCTATTCGGTACTCTTTGTAGTTGTACTTCTGTACTGTTAAGCTATCCGAATTCAAATAAACATTAAAAAAAAAAAAAAAAAACTTCGGGTAGTACATTGCATGCTAATCATAATGAGAATTGGAAAAGCAGCATTGCGGACTACTTTAACTGACATATTCCCTGTAACAAGACGGCAACGTCTGTAGGGCCTTCCCTATCAAAATAATAAATTCTACTACTACTACTACTACTACATACCGGTATACACAAACTATTGAAATTATCATACATGTGGTTACTACGCCACTGGTTTAATAATAGCCTAGACACAAAAGTCAGGAATACCTTTCAAAGAAAACATAGATTGCGAATGATACCGACGAACAGCAATACTAAATTTCGCTGTTGTAAAGAGTGAACGAATATCTTCAGGAAGCTTATTCCAAGCAACACTCAAAGAAAAAAGGGTTGATTTACGAAAGTAGGTGCCAGCTTTAGGAAGAATTATGGATGAGGGGTGACGACTGCTTTGGGAAGAGGGTAGCTGGAAGTGAGACAACAAGCCACAAGGAAGGGTATTGGGAGAATACATGGTGGAAATAGACAAGGCCAAGAATCTGCCGTCGCCATGCTAAAGATTCCCAAGAGGACAGAACATTGAGGTCTTCTTTGGAAGTCGTCCAGTCAGGCCGACGCTCTGATGAGCGAGGAGTAACCCTACACTGAGCAGTGAGCTGCTAGCAAGAGTGCCCAGTGTCGCAGTGATCTGTAGTGAACCGGTAGATCTGGTAGATTCTACCCCTCTCGAGTCTCTTGTCTTGCACTGTTGCAGCTATGCGCTACAGACTACAGAACAGACTGTCAATCGTGAAAGCCACCCCCGAAACGTGTCACAAAAAAACTGGACCCTATAAGTGCATCCAAAGCCGTTATTTGTCGTTAGATTTTAACTTCTGACGGCCACGTATGGGGGGGGGGGGGCGGCGGCCCGGGAGATGGCCGCGGCGTTGGCCCGAAACTCGAAGTCGAAACTCGTACAGTCGTAGTCGAGGAGCCGAAAAAGCAGAAACAGAAAAGATCGAAGAGCAGACTCGAAACTGTTACTTCTGAAGCAGAGAAAGAAACGTGAAAGACGTCATCACATCCACTACCCGCTTCGGCTGCTAGCTAGCACAAGGAGGATGACATTGCTCTGGAATCAAACTTTTGGAATCGTGATTTCTGGATCGATACGCCGCGATGTGCTCGTGATCTTGGGCTGTTGAAACGTAGCATTCGGTATTCGCAGCCTGCATACACGTGTCATTCAAGCGGTGGCGTTTGTCCATCTTGCATGCCGCGCCACAGGATTCAACAACTATCTGGTGAGTGATATGAGGTTTTGGAAAGGCCATCGCATGAAAGTCAGCAGCCTTTGGAGAAATTTGTTTTGGCAAAGTGTTTGAATGAATTATGTCTGAGAAATTGAGAATCCTGAAGATTTACGTAACTCACGGGTGTGTCTGGCACACAGGACGTACAAGGGAGAACTGTTTATTTCCGGGGCGCTTGTTCAAGATCCAGGACTCAAGGACTAGAAGTAGTGCAAGCATGTGTGTTTCTGCTTATGCGAATGCCACAGGTTTGTTTACTTATTAAGGGTGTTGTGTGGAGTGACACATCTGTGTAAGTTTTGATCGCACTCCACGCGAAGTGCAGTTCTGGCCAGAGAAATCCAACCTCACAATAAAGCAGCGCCGCGTTCGATTGTACAGATCAGTATGTGTAGTGCTAGGGCTGCACAGCGCCCGGTGCAATTTTATTCATGAGGTTGGATTTCTGTGGCCAGTACTGTA